CCCCAGGACGAGCCGGCGGGGGCGGGCCCGGGCAAGGGTCGCTTCCTTGTCCGCATCTGTTTCCAGGGAGACGAGGGCTCCTGCCCGACCCGGGACTTCGTGGTAGGAGCGCTTATCCTGCGCTCCATCGGCATGGACCCGAGCGACATCTACGCGGTCATCCAGATCCCCGGCAGCCGCGAATTCGACGTGAGCTTCCGCTCGGCGGAGAAGCTGGCCCTGTTCCTGCGCGTCTACGAGGAGAAGCGGGAGCAGGAGGACTGCTGGGAGAACTTTGTGGTGCTGGGGCGGAGCAAGTCCAGCTTGAAGACGCTCTTCATCCTCTTCCGGAATGAGACGGTGGACGTGGAGGACATTGTGACCTGGCTCAAGCGCCACTGCGACGTGCTGGCCGTGCCGGTGAAAGTGACCGACAGGTTTGGGATCTGGACCGGGGAGTACAAGTGCGAGATCGAGCTGCGCCAGGGGGAGGGCGGGGTCAGGCACTTACCAGGGGCCTTCTTCCTGGGGGCCGAGAGGGGCTACAGCTGGTACAAGGGGCAGCCCAAGACATGCTTTAAATGTGGTTCCCGGACCCACATGAGCGGCAGCTGCACGCAGGACAGGTGCTTCAGGTGCGGGGAGGAGGGGCACCTGAGCCCTTACTGCCGGAAGGGCATCGTGTGCAACCTCTGTGGCAAGCGAGGACACGCCTTTGCCCAGTGTCCCAAAGCAGTTCACAATTCCGTGGCAGCTCAGCTAACCGGCGTGGCCGGGCACTAAACACCCGCCTGCCTGCCAGGGTGAACACACAGCCAGCTTACCCCTCTTAAGTGCCAAAACTTTTTTTTAAACCATTTTTTATCGTTTTTGAAGGAGATCTTTTTAAAACCTACAAGAGACATCTCTCTATGCCTTCTTAAACCGAGTTTACTCCATTTCAGCCTGTTCTGAATTGGTGACTCTGTCACCAATAACGACTGCGGAGAACTGTAGCGTGCAGATGTGTTGCCCCTCCCTTTTTTAAATTTTATTTTCGTTTTTCTATTGGGTTTTTGTTTTGTTTCTTGTACTTTTTCTCTCTCTCCCTGCCCTCCCCGCCCCATACCTTGTCTTCCCCTGGATTTTCACCCTTTGGGCTGCCTTGCTCATCTTTATGCCCCAGCACTAGGTACGGGGCCCAACACGTAGTAGGCACTCCATCAGTGTTTGCTTAATTGAAAACATTGTTGACTGTGGCTTCTATCAGAGTGTCTACCTTTTGCAGCTCTTCCCCTCCCTCATTTAATTTGCTGCTTTTAATCTACGTGGTCAGAATTTGTGAAACCAGTGTTGTTAGAAGTGTATATAATCTGAATCAATAAGCTCTGAATGGTGGCCAAGGGCCTCTCTTTATGGCACAAAAATGCATGGACTTCATGACAGCTCTTTTGGTGGCTCAGAAGCCATTTTTCATAGAATCATGGAATCTAGAATATTCCTGCTGGAAAGAACCTGAGAGTTGGTTTAGACCAATTCCCTGGTTTTCCAGCAGATGAAACAGGCCCAAAGAGGTTAAATGACTGGGTGAAAATCACATAGCTGTCTGGTACCAGAGCCAGCCTATAGTAGAGTCCCCTGACCCCAAGCCCGGTGCTCATTCCACTACCTCTCACACTTCACAACAATTTCCTCAACACTTGAGGGCCCAGAAAGTCTGATCTCTCCAGAATGTTGAGCCCAGAGGAATGCTGAGAAATCATCTGGAGGAGGGAGCAGAAAGAGAAGGTTTTAAGGAGGGGTTTTCTGAATACTTGGGAGATACGGAAAGGACCAAGGAACACACTCCAGGGTGCATGCGTTGCTCCCTGGGGCACCACTTCTGGATTAAAGTGTGCCAGGTCCTTTGGAGGCCCTACCCCTTCCCCATTCATTGTCACCAGTGAGAAATGGGGGTGACCCTGTGTAAAGAAACCTACCAAAGGTTTACATTTGCACCTTAGCCTCAATAACTAGGAACCCTAGAGAAGCAGCTAGCTGGAGCTCATCTGCAACTCCTGACTCAGGAGAAAGATGGATTTTAACCCAAAATTATGAGTGAGCTGTTAACTCTAAAATGTACTTGGGAGATAGGCCAAGCGAGAGGTCATGGGCCAACTAAGTGTTATCAAGTAGAAAAGACAGTACACTGCTTTTCTTTTAGTGTTTGCTTTTCCTTTGCTATATGTTTTGCTATTTCCTTGTGGCTTAGAATGTAAAATTGATTGTTAAAAATTTGTTCTGAATAAATATTTATCTTTTGTATTGCTAACACTGGTGCACTATTTCCTTTCCAAGTGTTAGATGCACAGTTACCCAGATCCAGACCATATTTCAATCCCAGTTCCCCTACACTCCATTTGTTTACCCTGCTAAATTCATTTCCCACCCCTGGAGGCAACACTTAGCACCTACTACGTTGTGCCGGTCCCTTTGCATCACAATCAGTTAGCACACTGTTAAAACAGGTTTTAAGTCCTAACACAGCTCCAAGAAATCAGAATCACTGTTAGAGGAAGTGAAACATTTTAGTTAATCATCAAGCAATTCTGATGGGCAGCCAGGTTTGAGACCAGAGTGTAAGATATGTGAGCTGAACCCGCCCTCAGGGAGATTACAGACCTGTGGGAAAGAGGGAAGTGGTTTGCCAGCTTCCTGGTCTTTCTGTTATTGTAAGCGCCACGGATGGGATGCAAAATATTCTTGGGTTCTGGGAAAATGCCATTTCTTCCAGCTGTTGAAAAAGAGAAGGGGGGGGTCCAGGGAGCTGACTTATCCAAGTTAGCCCCCCCCGGAGACTGGGTCTGCAGGCAGAATAGGGTCAAGCTCTCTGGACTTTGGGTCCAGTACCCTGCAGACCCCAGGTACAATCCTCTGACGGATTTTCCAGCTGGTGATGTTAGGATGATCTGATCCTAAGAGTTGAACATTCCCAGTATATTGACTCTCAGACTCCGTGATTTGAGGATATTTCCAGAGCTGATCTGGAGTTGGGACCTGGTAGGCTCTTGGGAATCCTGTCTTTCAGAGCCAGTTCAGCCCCTCTCCTTGTCTCCCAAAGCAAGCAGACTCTCCTCTTTCCCTCCCTTCCATCCCTCTTTCCCGTCTTTGCCAGCAGTTTCCCTCCGTCTCACAGAGCTGGAGGCCAGGGGCCAGGAGAAAGCCTGCATTCACCATGCTCTCCACCCCGTTCCTCAAAGCAGGCACTGTGCCAGGGAGCCTCCTAGAAGGAACCTTCCCTCTCCTGGCCCCATCCCCCCACTCTCCAGGAGGGAGCAGAGGAAGAAACTGTTTCCCTGCCCATCCCCCACAGGATCTGCTTCAAGGCCTCCTGCCTGGTGGCCCAGGGACAGCCAGGGACTGGAGCTGAACAAACTTCCCCCAGCTTCCTTTCCTGATCAAGCAGCCCTCAAATTACAATTCTTCACTGTGTTTGGGCTTCTGGAAAGTGTGCAGAGATGCCCGGACTGAGGCTGATTGAGTAGAGGACACTGAATCATTCAACTTCAACAAATACTGAGGGCATTAGAGCTGGGCCCCATGCAAGGCCCTCTCCATAGGCTGCCTTGAGCAAGACAGTGCACTTGCAATGGAAGGTACAGATAAGTAACAGCAGGCAATGTTTACAATCATATATTTAACAATTTTTTTTTTTTTTTTTTGAGACAGAGTCTCACTCTGTTGCCCAGGCTGGAATGCAGTGGCATGATCTTGGCTCACTGCAACCTCTACCTCCCGGATTCAAGCGATTCTTGTGACTCAGCCTCCCAAGTAGCTGGGATTACAGGCACGTGCCACCATGCCTGGCTAAGCTTTGTATTTTTAGTAGAGATGGGGTTTCAGCATGTTAGCCAGGCTGGTCTCAAACTCCTGATCTCAGGTGATCCACCTGCCTCAGCCTCTGAAAGTGCTGGGATTACAGGCGTGAGCCACCGCGCCCGGCCAACATTTGTCCTGTATAGAATTGTCTGAAGTAAAAGTTTCCCTAGAAGAGAAAACATCTTGCTGAAACCTGCAAGATGAGTAAGAACAGGCTAAGAACGAAGAGACACCCAAGCAGCAGAAATAGTAGATGTAGGGACCTGGAGGCCAGAGAGCACACAGTGCGTTTGGACTGGCTGAGAGGCAGGGGAAGATGTGGTTGGGAGAAAATGCCGAGAAGAGGTGTCACAGGGCTTACCAGCCATATTGAAAAACGTGGATTTTGTCCTCAGAGCCTCCATTCTGGCCTCCTCCCTTCCATTCATTCTTTCAACACATGCCTGTTGAGCACCAACTCTATAGGGGCCTTTTCTAAGCAATGGGACACAGCATTGAGCAGGATAATCAAGTCCCTGGGGCTCAGATTCTAGAGTCACACAAATACATAATTATAGATGATGATGATGCACTAAAAGAAACATAAAGGGTGAGATCCCTGTTTAACAAGGAAAGCTGATCCAGTCTTAATGGTCAGGGATAACTTCCCAGAGAAAATGTTTGAACTGAGATGGAAAGGACATATAAGGAGTTAATTGAGAGATGGGGCTGAGGGTTAAGGGATAGCAAGGGTATTAACCTAGGCCAAAAGGATAGCAAGTAAAACAACCCTATAGTGGGAGGAGGCATGACCAGTTCTAGAGACTAAATGAATCAGTCTGAATTTGGAAACAGAAACCACTCTAGCTGTTGAAGAAAATGCTGGTCCCTAGGCTGGGTATTAGGAATGACTCCTAGAACACCATAGAACTGACCTGCCAAGGCAGTTACTACCTCTCGCAGTCAGAAAGACAGAAGCCAGGAGGCCACCACTGGAAAGGCTGAGTGAGCATGAGGACACAGTGGTGAAGCTGCTACCCAAAGACAGGATCCTGGGATCAGAAAGTCACTGTCAATGCCACTGGCAGGACAATGAAATGCCAAGTCCTTTCCCTGCCTCTACAAAGCCAGGGACTGTGCACTACTGTCTCCACAACCATGTTTACAAGTAAAAACAGCCCAAACCATCTGGCTTACTTCTGCCTCCCTTCCATCTTTTATGCAAATACATCTAAGTGCTAGAGCCCGAGCTGCAAGGGAGCTGGGAGATGTTTTAGCTTTCTAGCATCTGTAGCATAGGAAGGCATATAGAACGGGGATGGGTGCTGTCTGCCCAAAGACAATATCCAGCACAACAAATGTGACTGCAATGCAGAGAAGGAGAGGAGATTGTGGGGGCATCCGGTAGGCCATGTTAAGATTGTGGGTCTAAGAACAATGCACCATTGAAGGACTTGTAAGCAAGACAGTAACATGATTAGATTGGTTGTGTTTTACAAGTATCATTCAGGGTGGTTGGTGGAGACTGGGTCAGAGAAGAGCCCAAGTGGAAATACAGTATAGTTATCCCAGGTGAGAGATGAGGACATCTTAGGTATGGAAGGTGGAGATGGACGGAGAGAAACAGCAGGGTAAAGAGATCTTTCGGAGTTTAAGTCAACAAGATTTGGAGCTATATTTGACATGGGCTGGGAGAAAGTTAAGTACCAAGGATGATGCCCAGATTTCTAACTTCTGCAGTTGGATGGACGATGGGGCTTTTCCCTGAGATGCGAAACAGAGGAGAAAATCCAAGTTTAGGGTGAAGGGCTTGAATTTGATTTTGGATATATTGGGTTTAATGTCTCCATAGAGGGTATCTAAGAGGAGATGTGGAGTAGGCGGTTGGACACACACAGATCTTACATTCCTAGGAGAATTCTGGCCCTGAGAAATAAACAGAGGAGTTGTACAGCCATGGCTTTCAAACTGTTTCACCACATCCCACAGTAAGATACTATTTTACATTGCAGCCATCATACATATGCATGTGTGTATTTATATCTAAATCTGAAATAAGCTTCCTCAAACAATATTTACCCTGTGCACGATGCACTTTGACACTTTCTATTCTGTTGCTTCATCATTTTGTCAATGCTTATATGACGCGTTAAACTGATTTCACACTCTCCTAATGGGTCAAGAGAGAAAGCAGAAGGAAGGATTATACCAACTAAGATTGTGCCTCGAGCAACTTTGACACACAGTTTTCCCTGATGGAAATGGAGATGGTGAAAAACTAGTAAGGGACAGCCAGAAAGGGAGAAGGAAAACAAGAACGTGCAGAGACACATAAACCAAGGGAGGACATTTCAGGTGGGAGGGGTTAACAACTGTGTCGAGGGCTGCAAGAGATCAAGTAAAATCGGCTCGAAGAAATGTCAACTGAGGCCGAGCACAGTGGCTCATGCTTGTAATCCCAGCACTTTGGGAGGCCGAGGCGGGTGGATCACGAGGTCAGGAGTTCGAGACCATCCTGGCTAACACGGTGAAACCCCGTCTCTACTAAAAATACAAAAAATTAGCCGGGCGTGGTGGTGGGCGCCTATAGTCCCAGCTACTCAGGAGGCTGAGGCAGGAGAATGGTGTGAACCCAGGAGGCGGAGCTTGCAGTGAGCCAAGATTGAGCCGCTGCACTCCAGCCTGGGCGACAGAGTGAGAGTCCATCTCAAAAAAAAAAAAAAATGTCAATTGAGATCAGAACTGAAGAGTGCCCTAGGATTGAGTAGTGTGGAGGTTATCAACAAGGGCCTTTTAGAAGAAAGTGATGGGGGCAGATTAAGGAGCAAATGATCTTTCTAAGATGTCAGTCTAGCACGCTGGCCATTTTATTCCCATGTCACATCCTCTGGGAATCCCTCATGCCCTTGGAACTCAGCCTGGCCCGATCCCTTTCCAACCTTACTCTCAGCCAGATTGCCCATTACATCCCTTTATGGCAACTCCAGTTACGGCTGACAAACAGCAACCAGAAAGAATTTTGGAGTATAGAGTGCTACAAGACCAAGCTAAGGGGCCGGTGCAATGGTTTACACCTATAATCCTAGCACTTTGGGAGGCTGAGGCGAGTGGATTGCTTGAGGTCAGGAGTTCAAGACCAACCTGGCCAACATAGTGAAATCCTGTCTCTACTAAAAATACAAAAAAAATTAGCCAGGTGTGGTGGCATGCACCTGTAGTACCAGCTACTCGGGAGACTGAGGCAGGAGAACTGCTTGAACCTGGTAATACAGGAAGGGAAGTGCTGGGAAGGGAAGGGCACAGTCCCTTTAAATGACATAGAAGGGAGAAAGAGCGTGGTCCCTGGCTAGGGCTCCATCCCAGCCTGTGCCCATGGACCTAGGTGAGGACAGGCATTTTTGTTTTCCTGCCCAAATGTTGCATTTCCCAAGACGACCCCGGCCTGCCATATCCCCATCCCGTGCCTATAAAAAT